GGCGTCTGCAAACAGCACGGACCCAGGAGCTATAGAAAGTCTGCAGTGTCAGGAGCACTGACATAAACGAGAACACTCATGGCTCCTGTTCACAAAAGCGCATGGAGATTCGGCATTCCAAAAGTTACGGTTTTCACTTAAATGTCCAAGGGATTTTAAGTTTTTTCGTAAAACTTTTAAGATAAGAAAATCCCTGTATTGCCAAAATCACACTTTGGAAACAGATCTAAATTATAAAAATTGCTCGAGTTACTGGAGATTAAAAAGGTTGTAAATCCAGATTTAGTTACTGGGCAAGCACCACACTGCTCAGCCGCGAGTTCTGGAGACGGTGTTTATACCAAGAGCAAGTTCAGGCCACATGGACAGTCCCGTGGCCAGAGCTGCAGCTTTCGTTTTGAGAGGACGGCAGCAGGCTGTGGTGCCTCCTTCTAAGAAACCAAGAGACTCACAAGCAGAAAGGAACCAAGAGCCAAACCCCTGGGAGGAGAGCTGGGGGAGGAGGACGCAGGGTGTTCGTGGCTCCTGTCCTTCTGCCCGGCAGTGCTCACTGCTGAAAACACCATGAAACGTGCATCAGATGCCCTCCCGTCAAGTGCGGTGGGCCAGAGCGTGGCTGGTGGGGCGCCTGACACTGCAGCTGCCCCGGATGAGGACCAACCGCCCTGGGGACTGCTTGCGAGCTCTGTCCAGCAGCCGAGAGACCAGCCCCAATGTGGACCAGTGTGGGTGTTACCTGCTGGGGGAGGCACCTTGAAAGGCTGCATCATGAGAAACAGCCCTGGTGTGCCTGAGGGGCCAGACTGGAAGAGAACGGGGGCTGGAGGAGCCCTGCCCTCCATCTGTTGGGCCCCAGTGACACGCTCGCCCCTCAGGGACACAGCCGAGTGTCCATCCACCCATCTCTCCCGGCCCCGTGCCTCTGCTAGGAACAGCACTGCCTCTCCCCAGACCCAGCTCCTCACAGGGAGCCCCTCCCCCCACCCGCCTGCAGAGTCGTCACGCATGTTTCAGGATCGACAGTGAGACTGTGCTTGGCCACCACCTGCAGCTACTTCCTTCACACCTGTATCAACACATCTGAACCGTGTGCTTGGAAAGTACCAGAAGACACAGAAACCGAAGTTCAAGAACTGAACGTGAGTGAGTCCTTCTCGCGGACTCAGTGTTTGGGAGACGGACAAGTCTTCAGAAGCAACGATTCAAAAAGAGACACAATTTAAACATACTAAATATATAGCAAATAGCACTGGTTAAAACTCACAGATACTCACACAGACGTGGAGAGAGCCGTGCCCTGAGCCCTGCGCCCGAGTCGGGCCCTCAGCCTAGACTCCTTCCCCGTTTTGTGGGCGAGGCCGTCCCTGCACACCCCGTCAGTAACAGTCAGACCCCATCGTCTCTCATCTCCTTCCCCATCTGATCTTCCCTATGGCTTGACTGCTGTGTCAAGTCATGGGATCTGCTTGTTTACTTCCTGTCTGTCTCCCTGGCCGACTCGTAACTCCCCTGAGCGGAAGAGCCTCCTCTGCCTCGCTCCCCTCCACCCCCAGTACCTGCCTCAGTGCCTGGCACACACAAGTGCTCAACAAGAATGTGCTAAACAGGTGAATCCAAGAGTGAACCCCACACCACTGACCCACAAACAAGCCACATCCATTCCCCCTGATACATCCTTCAGCCAAAGCGAGGCTGGCCAAGTGTTTCAAAGAAACCAGGAGGGAAGCAAGTGCCCCCTCCCCTCCACGGTCTCCGTCCTGACCCACGTGTGAAAGCGCAAGTGAGCACAACGGGGGCTGCCAGCACCAGGGTGGCTCCCTCCATAAACACTCTCCGGGCCAGCAGCGTCTCCGTCCCTGTTGTAAGATCTGGCTCCGTGCCAAGCCCAGAGCCCCCACCACCTCACCCCTCTGCACTTTGACCCAGGCCCAAACTCTGGCTGCAAATGGACATTCCTGACAGCCTCCAGGATCTTAAAGGGATGGTCATAAAACACCCTCAGGACACTTTTTTATATGGAAATAAAATGACCGAGTCTTGCACGGGTCCCTCCTTTTCCACACTCACAAGTAACTTAATTGTACAAACACACATGACACGGGCATGCTGCACGGAAGAAGTCTATGCAGTGTTTTTATTAAATTAAACGTTTTCCTGTTTTTTAAGTCATTTCCCCATCGTATTTCCAGGGCCAGCCTAGTGCCCAGCATGAAATTCAATGGAAGTCAGAGAGGGAACCAAGGCCGCTGGGTCCCGACCCAGGAGTGTGCCTCTATCTGTACGTCAGCAGGACAAAGAGAAACAGAAAAGACACAGAATCGAAACTGCTCAGCAGCACGCATGGTGAAAGTACATTTCTGTCTTATGATAAAATATAGCAAGACACGTGCATTTAAATGACACGTAATGCAGGTTCTCACTGCAGGGGGAATCTGTCTTCACTGAAGGCAGTGGAGACAGTCGTGTGAGAACACGAAGCCCCACTCACAAAGGGCACCAAGGTCAGAGGTCTGCCCAGCAGTGACCCAGAGCAGCACACATTCACGTGAGCTCACAACACGGATTCCAATCCTGTCCCACACTCTCAACGTCCTCTGGAACGGCTCTTCCGGAAATGTCCTCAGATCTCTGGGCAAACCCCACTGACAGCAGCACAAGTCCCTCCAGTGCCACACTGTGTAAACGAGGCGAGCCTGGGGTAACAACTGCTCGCGGCCATCAAGTCGAGCACCGCCGAGACACCAAGGACTCTGTCCTGCACACTGACAGCCGCCTGAGAAGCGCTCGCCCACACACACTCACTCACCTTGCAAACAGCCCTCTGAAGCACATGTGTTGGCCTTATTCTCGTGTCTTAGATGAGGAAAGTGTGGCACAGAGAGGTTAAATTACTCACCCAAGGCCACACAGGCTGCCGTGGCAGCACCTGGGTTTGAACATAGCAGCCTGGACCAGAGGCCACATGAGTCCAAGCACACGGCGCCCTTTCTCTCTCCAGCAAAATGTTTGTACAGCATGACTTAAGGTGACCACTGCTTGGAACATCACCAATTTGGATACCAAAGGTTTAGATCCCTCTTGGTAAAGAATCGTAAATGAGACGTGCATGTTATGGGTGGGGAGTGGGTGGATACAGCTCCTTCCTCTACAGGGGGACCACAACATCTTACAGGGAGACCCCTTAGGAGGCAGTTTTATGGTTTCAGGTCTTATATTCAAGTCTTTAATCCAAATCTGAGCTGACCTCTCCACACGGTGTAAGGCAGTGGCCCACCTTCATTCCTCTGCGTGTGCCTATCCGATCTTCCCAGCACTGTTTCCTGAAGAGACTATCCTCTCTCCACTGCATCATAGCCTCAGTTCCTCTGCTGTAAGTTAACTGACCAGTGTGTGTGCAGGCCTACTCCTGGGCTCTCCCTCCTGTTCCGCTGATGGAAGTGTCTGTTCTTACGCCAGTAAACACCACACCAGCCATCACCTTCTTGGTGGGCTTTACATCCTGCTTTTATGAGAATTAACAGGACCAATCTTACAGCTGGGTAAGAAACACTAAACAACCAAAGCAATCTTAAGAAAAGAAGAACAAAACTGGAGGCATCACACTCCCTGGTTTCAAACTACATTACAAAGCTTTAGCACTTGAAACAGCGTGCTATTTACCGGCATAAGACAGACACATTGATCAAAAGCCTAGGAAAAAATGCCTTCACCCCTCACCACTCAGGACAACTAAGGCAAGACTTCTCTGCATCAGCATCGAGAACCCGCAGAAACTGTGCAGCTCAATTCCGGAGACTAAGACAAGAGTTTTCAGTTGCCCTGGGGTAAGACTAGAGTCAAACAACACGCTAACAGCAAATGAGTGGTGCCAGGGGAGGGTGGGGCCACGGCTGTGCCCACCCTGGGATGACCCTCCCTAGCACAGCCCCCAGGAGGGAGGCGCCCCTGCTCCAGATGCAGATGCTGAGAGGGCCGGCAGCAAGCACTGGACCAGGCAAGCTGGCCCTCCATCTCCTGGTTCTTCTGTGAGAGCCACACGTGACCATCTTGATTTTCCAACAAGCAAAGGGAGGAGGAAACGCACCTGTAACCGGCGGGGAGCAGAGCTCCAGCCAGTGGAGGAGGCAGAGCTGCAAGCTCTCACCCGGCCCACCCAGCAACCTGACCTGCCCTCTGCACAAAACTGGAAGAGCCACAAACTTGTAGGACTCACAGGACCAGAGAACACAGTCAATCCTTGTATATTTTCTACCATCCTTCTTTAAAAAAAAATTTTTTTTAAAAACCTCTTTTCACATAAAAATGTTTTCCTTGGATTCCACGAGGAATCAACCTTATGGCCAAGGAAATCAACCTTATGGCCCCCATTTTATAAATGAGGGGCTGGCCAGAGCCCCAAAGAGTTAGTGGGATGTTAAGTGAATCAAAGAACCAGGACCCAAATTCAAAAGCCTGGTGGTGCAGGCCCTGGCTCTGGGCACCAGCCGGACTGAGTGGGTCCCTGGAAAGGAGCAAACCAGGCAGGGGCAGATCCACGTCCAACAGCAACACAGGGCTTCTCTAAGAGCCTCTAGGCAGCCCACCCCCATCTACACACGAGTGCACCTGAGGAAGAAAACTAAAGACGCACAGGGAGAGGTCACTCATCAGCCATAACCACTCCCTCCAGGCCTCCCCAGCTCTGTACAGACACACCCCCGGACACCATTCTGCAAGTGACAGGTTTCTCTCGGAACTGATGACTGACAGGATACCGCGTGTGCCCTGTGACTGAGCAATAGCAGAACAGTGAACTGCCAAATGCTGTTTCAAATTTCTCTTTATCGAGAAGGAGGACATGGCATAATTCTGTCAAAATCAGTAACGCAGCAGCCTGAGTCGTGACGCCAAGTGGCCCTGAGTCCTACAGGCAGGTGCACATTCATTTCGCACAGCTGTCTGGTACTTTATAACCATCAGCTGCGCTGAACTGTTCTCAGTGAAGCACGGACGGTTCTCACCTGTGAACGCATGTGTGGCCGGAAAGCCAGCCTCCTGCATGCTGCTCTTGCAGGCCTGCACTCCGACTCGCCGCTGTCCCGACACGAGGAGCGTCCAGGGGCCTCAGGTGACCTCCATCTCAGCATGCCCACCTGGCTCCTGGTAGCATCTGATTCCCACCTGCCTGCTCTGGACCCTGGGAGCAGGCGGCACCTGGGGTGGCCCCAGTCTGGCAGCGTCACCCTCGCACTAGTCACGTCAGCTGTCCAGCCAGAATGCGGAGGCCATGGTGGGCCCAGAAGTGAGGAAGCTGTCCCCGCGACCCTGGGCTTCCCACCTCATAGGGAGGGCCCCCAGAGCCGCCCGGCAGCCAGCATCCTTCCAGGGTTGTCAGCCACTCCAGGGGGCTCAGGAGGGTCTCATCTGCAGCTCTCTGTGCTTCTCTCCCGCTGCTGAAATTAGAAAGAGAGGTCACTGTCCTGATGACCCGCAGAACATGAAGTTCAGTAGACCCACAGAGGCCAAAAAAGACAAGAAAAAGCCCCAGAGCCTGCTCGTGACCACACTGTGGGGTGGGGGAGGGGCAGCACCAGTTTTGGTGCCTGTGAAGGGCGGAGCGGAAGCTGCACCTGCATCCTGAACCAGCAGGCTGGCAGCAGACAGGTCTCCCGGAGGCCACTCCAGGCCAGACACCTGGAGAGGAAACCCATTTCTTAAGCAGGTTCCCAAGGTCTTAGAAGTGGGGTCTGGGGTTCACACCCACTGCTGTCAGCAGGCCAATAAGGACTTGTGGGTTGAGCAGTTTTAAAAAGTGACTCTTAAGGGGGAGAACAAAGGCCAGTATTAATTTCTTTAAAAGAACAGGAAGGAGGCGGAGCACACGGCTCAGGGGTAGGGCATGTGCCTTGCATGCACGAGGCCCTGAGCTCAACCCCAGTAGCTCCGTTAAATAAATAAACAAATAAACAGACCTAATTACCTCCCCAATTTAAACAAATTTTTAAAAAACAACAGAACGGAAAAGTAAACTTAATGTATAAACTGGCCCATGCATATTACATATTCCATAATAATAAAAGCATTTGACACAACACTTTCCAGATACTTTAATGTCGTTCTATTACACAAGAGCAAAATTAACAACAAGAGCAGAATTCCAAACGTGAATCTTCGGTACTGGAGAAAGTGATTATCATCACCTCATTCCAACCAACTTGCAACCAGTTTGTAGGAAGTGTAACCTTATTCCTCTTTCACACCACCAAACCAGAGAAAAAAAATTTAAGAAAACAGCACATAACAGACAGGAACCCTCTGTTAAAATCTTCTTGCTGTAAATGTAAGGTAACAAAGTAAAACATCACTAACACAGACTAAGTAGAAGGAAGCCTAATGCATTAACGAAGCACCTTCATCGTGGTAAGAAAATGCAGCTGCACTGCCTTCGTGTACCTGCAGTAGCAACCTGTCACCAAAGTCAGCCCAGGGGTCCTCAACTTCAACCAACAGGTGAAAATTTTAATTAAAATCATTTACATAAACGGTGGTTCTGAAGTCCTTGAAAACGTCAGAAAATGTTCTTTTTCTAAATTTAAAAATTCCCCATCAAATGGCCAATACTCACAAGGCACGGACACCCAGCATCCCAAAGTCCTGCGGCAACTCCTGGAGTCAAGGACCACATGCACTGTCGTCGGGGGACTGAACCGCCAGATGAAAACAAAAGCCTGCCTGCCCTAAAGCCTGACCACCTGTACTCTCTTCTGTGATGCTTCCAATGCCCAGAAATGCTGGACTGTGTTTGTCCTCTTTCTCCAAACTCAGACAGACTGAAGTACGGTGAGGTCTTGATGTTTCATTGTGGGGTTTGGTTTAGATCATCTTGTTTCATTGCAAAAGGTACGCTACCTGACTTCTTTTAAAAACCAAGCTATACATTTCAAATGGCTGTGGGCAAGACTGAGGCTGATGCGGACAGAAGCAAAAGAAACAGCAAACTCTCCTCGCTTCTCTGTCATGCTCAGCAATCCTTAGCCGGGCTTCTCCTAAAAGAGGGGCGTGGTGGCAGGCCTGCAGCAGCTAGCTCTGAGGTCTCAGGCACGGTCTTGGCCTGGACTTTTAGGGCAGGACGCGTGCCGTTCCCAACAAAGACTGAAGGGGCACAGTCCCTCTTCATGAAACACTTGGGAGCCTCCTTATGAGCAACATTCAAGTTAAACTGTGAACAGCCATCCCATGCTTTCCTAACTGCTAACAACACAGGTAAGACACCCCTTCCAGAAACATAAACAAAAGAGAGGAAAAGGCCCCCAGAACCTACGGCCTGTGCTGATCAGGGAGGGACCAACCATCCACACCAGGACCGGGCACCAGCAGGGCTCAGTGGGAAAGTGCAGATGACCAGCACGCTGGGGACAGGCGAGGGCTGGGGCCCAGGGCAGCAGAGCCACAGCACATCTGCCTTCACTGCCCGGCAGCCAACCACGACTTGGCAGGAAAGCAGAGAAGCCGAACACGGTGCCCATCGCTGCCCTGCTGCCTCCACCCTCGCGGGCCCTGCTCACAAGGCGCCCTCACCAGCTAGTCTCAGAGGCGCCCCTCGACCAGCCCTGGCGCTGAAGCAGGATCCCAACTGGAAGCCCCATGAGACAGGCGGTGACTGGCTGCCCCTCCACTGGCCCTCAGCACCTAAGACACCGCCTGTGCCAGGCAGGCACTCAGTACACAGGAGTCTACCAGACGCACAGATGAATGGGCCAAGGAAGCCGGTGTGTAGAGGGGCACACACACCCCGGCACCCCAGCCCACTGCCCTAGGCCTGAGTGACAGGTGGTGGCCCCAGGCTGAGAGGCTACTCCCACCTCTGCTTCAGAGCCTCTGCACTGACAGGGCTCTGGCTACCACCACTGGTCACAGTGAGCCAGGGAGGGTGTGAGGTGACCCTGCGCACCTGCACTGCACAGCAACGTGCCCAGGAGAGGCCCGTGGGGGTCTCGGCTCTGTACCCTCTCACACCGCAAAGACCACTCGAACCCCACAGAGGCCGAATAACAGCCCAGACCTACTGAGCAGGAGGTGTGAGGCTGACGCCGGTCCCTCCTTCCAATCTGCGACTCCAGAATCGCAGGTGGTTTCCTAAAAAGGTTAACCCTGGTCATACTCAAATCAGGAAAACCAAGGGGGAAAAAGAGAAAGAACAGAAAGAGGCTACTTACCCAGGACGGAAGATCACAGGGTAACCCTGAACCACATGCAAGAGCCCCCACAGCAAGCACACCACCACCATCCTGTTGTGTGTGCACAGGCGCGCACACACACGCCCTATTTACACTGGGAAGATGGGCTGGAACAACCAGGAGATACATCAACTCAATACTGCACTTGGAAAGTGTCACTAAGCCCCTCCCCTAAGAGCAACAGTCACTAAGGAAACAGAGCACACCCCACAGGAAGGGGCTTCTTCTAAAACATGAATGCCCACAGAACCGAACCAAGTAAGCTGTGGAACACGGTTGCTTCACCACTGGTTCCCAAGAACTTGTACGACATGCAGCCTCCTAGAATCACCGAGGAGGGGAAACTCAACTGCATTCAACACATCGCCCTTTCATGGAGGTACTCTGGAACACAGACACACGACCCAGGAATCAGAGTCACACGCTGGGCACAGAGACCAAAACCCAACAGACAGGAAATTGCCTTTTATCAAAATCTAGTCACATTTCTAAAAGTGCAATGCGTAGAGAATAAACACTGCAGTTTCGTTTTTACTCCCTCTCAACCCGGACAGACTGCCTTGCTGGCTGCGTGGCGGTTGCCTGGGTGACGGCCAGCCGGAGCTGGCTCCAGGCTGCCAGGCCCCGCCTGTCTGACGGGCACTCGCTCCCTCCCTCCAGAGGCGAGAAGGAGGAGCCAGAGCCGTAGGGGGATGGTCCTAACTCGACAAACCAAGGCACTGCTGCAAAACCCCCAAAATAAAAGTAAACACAGTCCGAGCTGTGCTGCACTGCCGACTGGAAAAAAATGAACAGCCAGCAGGTTCATCAGAGGCCAAAGTGGCTCCAGACTCTGAGTGAGACCAAAGGCGGGGGAGGGGTCAAAGAAGCCTGAGGATGTGCTTCCATGGAGCTGGGCTTCCGCCACACAAGCCCTCCACCTTGGATGGATATGTGGACCCGGGCCAGGCGGCCAGCCTCAGGCCCCATTCCTCCCGCAGCCAGGCTCATCACTGGCTCTGCGCCCCACAGTGTGATGAAGTCAAGGTCCCTACGATCTGAGCATGCCCCGGGGCCCCTGTCTGTGGTTCAGGGAGACGGGACACATGTGCACAAGAAGGATACAGCGAACAAGCACAGAGAATCTGCACAGGCACTTGGGACAGACCCCTCTCACTACTTTCCATTTGTGTGTTTCGGGCTGGAGAGTCCACAGACAGGCTGGGAGATACTGCAGTCCTGGATGGCGGGATGGACCTCAGGGACTGAGGTCACCGTCTCAGGAGGCAAGTACAAAATCTAGAACACTTTCTTGAAGTACGCACACAAGAGGCAAACAGGGAAAGTGGCCGTCCTAGTGGTCCGTCCTGCAAGATGCCACCTCAGCAAATCCGACACTTGATAAAGGGTTTACAGTCTGGGCTGTGCCCAGACTAGGGCAATTACGCAGGAAAGGGTTTACAGTCTGGGCTGTGCCCAGACTAGGGCAATTACGCAGGAAAGCTGTCCCTTCTGTCTCCTCACACTACCTAGGAGCGGGGGAGGCCATGGGGGGCGCCCGGCACCCCTTCATTTCATGGAGGGGGAGACTGAGGCCCCAGGAGGAGAGGAAACGCACTAAGGGACTGTGGGATGAAGGCTAAACTGGGCTGGAACCAGGTGTCAGTCTGGGCCCTGGCCCCACGTTCTCCCATGGACGCCAACTGGCCAGAGGGAGAGGCCAAGAAAGGGGCCTGGGCACACCGTGTGGCTCAGGAGGTCCTGAGACAAAGGCCACTTGCCCAGGCAGGTTCATCAGAGGTTAATGTCCACAGCACCAGTGCGCCCAGAAGTCCCGGAGGGCGGGGCCTTGGCACAGAGTGTCCTCGGGTGGACATGCACTGACTGAAGTCCCCTGACTTAGTCTGAGCAAGTCATGGTCACCTCGAGAGGGGATGCCTGCCAAGCAGAGGTCACCTGCCTCAGCCCAGTGGGAGGAGCACAGGCGGGCTCCACACCCAGGACTCCCCACCACCTTGTCATCTTCAGATGGAATCAGCTTACAGTGGGCAAGCAGGCCAAGAAAGAGGGGCCCCCAAGGGGAAGAGGTGCAAGAGCAGCAGGAAGGAATGCGGCTGGTCCCCAGCGGGGCGGCTGTGCCTCAACCTGACTCACGCCTCGGCGCTCCCTTGACCTCCCGCTCTCTGTGGTTTCTTGCCCGTGTTGCAATAGCTGTCTGTGGGGTCATTACCCTCGCG